CTTTTAAACTGATAAAATGGCTTTCAAAAGTTGACCTGAAATACAGTTTGCATTAATGCCTTATAAATCTCTAATGTTAGGTTTTATTTAACAGTGAACATTACTGCTGTACATTTGTTGAATGTATAACAGCGTCATACAAATTAATTACGTTTAAGAAAAAGTCCAGAAGTGGCAAAAAGTTATCATGGAAAACGGCTTTTACTTACGCAGCCGCTGAAGATAGTTGCTCAAAATACAATATGACACTTGCTAAATTTTTTTTGAAAGATAGATGGTTAATCAAAGGTAAGTTTCATAAATTTGTTATAATTTTTGCCAAAAACATCAAAAACATTTTTTTTTGTTAAGAACATAAACAAGTTTCTCTTTTGCTAATATTCAAAAAGTTTCTTTTATACTATTATTTACATATTATAAAAACTGCATTTAGAACATATTGAAAAGAACTTTGAAATAGTTGATAAAGAAAACATGCTGCTTTTGATGTTGTTGAAATCTGCTTCGAGACATCGGTACAACAAACTGTCATTGATACCACAAGCAAATGGATCAAGTTTAAGGGACAATGCCTATCAAGTTTATTTGGCTAATAATACTGATCACCCATCGTGTTGGTTATGGAAACCGTTTTCGACAGAAGGTTGTCATAAAAATTACTAATATGTTTGCTACTGGTTTCATCACAGCGTTCGTACTTAAAAATCTGATTTGTTTGACACATTCAAACATAAAACGTTGTATATAAATTTACAAGCTCTTGAAATGATAGAAATTGACATCAAGAAAAACAAAAAAAGAGTGAAATCACCAAAATTTATAGTGTTTTTAATTAAAAATACATTTAAGGTTTACTCAAAAAAATTGCTGAATCGTTTACTTGTATTGAATTGAAACTATTTTTTGCCAGATGCAATTGATGTTTTGATCAATTTTAAAAGTTGACTGCCCAGTAACAAGTTTTTAGACTAACAAAACAAAATTCAATTCAAAAAAATCTCTTCCAATTATTGGTACTTCTTATATATTTTCTGAATAAATGGCCATAGTAAGTATAGTTCTTGAAAAAAGAACAAAAAATCTTTAAAATTTATACGCTTTATAAACATGACATTTTAATATACAAGAATATCCTCGGTTCACAAAGCGGAACAATAAAAGGTCAATCTGTTAATTTACATATTAGCATTTTTGATTAATTGATGTGTGGTATTCTTTCGTTTGTTTAAACCTTTTAGATAACAACTTGCCAATCTGTACCGATATAATTAGAAAACTGACAACTGACAATGCAGTTAACTTCTGATGCTGCAGTGACTTTGTTATGGTAATCCATTTGCCAAAAAGTCTGTTTTTTAGGAATGGAAGGACCATTACCTTGCCACAGTGTATTGTTTACGACATTTATATGTCTGAAAAACAAGGTTATTTTGGTTTTTCAGTAAAAAAAAAAA